GCCTCAACCCAGAGCTCAGATTAGGAGAGTTAAATAGGGGAGGGTGCCCCTCTATGCCTAGCTGTGCCTCCTGTTCTGGGAGCCCACCCCTGTGTAAGACTAAGGCCTGAGACAAATTTCATTTGCCCTGGAAGGGAGCACTGAGGTCAGGAATGCTGCTGATAGAGTTCACAGCTTTAAGATTCCCCCAGATGACCTGGGCCAGAGGGGGGAGCCACAGCACTCCCTTTTGCTTCAGTCTTCTCCTGACTTCCATCCACCTCTATGCCAACTCTCTGGATGAAGCCAGGAGCCAGGAGTTTCTTCCAGGTTTCCCATGTGAGTGGCAGGGGCTAAGCAGCTAAGACTTTTCTTTTTGTATTTTGATTTTTTAACTTTCATTTAATAAATATAAATTTCCAAAGTACAGCTTTTGGATTATAGTGGCTATTCCCCCCATAACTTTCCTCCAACCACAACCATCCCATCTCCCACTCCCTCTCTCATCCCATTCTTTATCAAGGTTCATTTTCAATTATCTTTATATATGGAAGATCAACTTAGTATATACTAAGTAAAAATTTCAGCAGTTTGCACCCACAGAGATTTAAAATGCACCCCCCAGGCCATTAGTGGAATGCTGGATTGGAAGTGGAGCAGCCTAGAGAACTGGAGCCCATATGAGATAGTGTTGCAGGCTGCGGCTTTACTTCATAGGCCACAAAGCCAGTCCCTGGAAGGACTTTTCGAATTTGAGTAAGGACATGGCTGTCATTTCTTTTCCAGTGAAAAGTTGCCATTAGGCTATACTATAAAATATGCATATTATGGTGTATCAACACCATACAATCAATTGAATAGGCTACATGGGGAAATCCAGAAACAAAGCAGAATCTACTTCAGTATTGGCAGTGACTTTCGTGGATGATGGAATCACAGGGTTATTGTTCATGTTAATGCTTTTCAGAATTCCCTTTTTCCAAAATGAACAACATTTGCTTTAGAATAAAGGGAAAAAAATCACCCATGAGTCTGCTAGCTTGATAAAATCTCAGTTATTATAGTTTTGACACCTTTTCCTATCCAAGTGTTTTTATACAGGTATAATCATGATGTACATACATTGTTTTATTCTCCTTTTTAATAAGACATGAATTTATTTATATGAAAGGTTTTATATACAGCATTGAATGCATGATCCATAAAAATATAGAATGTGAGCTGTGTTAACTAAAGGTGTTCTCTAACATATTATTTAAATAAAAGATAAGCCCTACAATGGGAGATAACACTTGTAAAACATATATCCACAAGAATTGCCTGCAAATTTCATGAAGCTTGTGACATTTAATAAGGTGATAAATCCTCCAATTTAAACCTAAAAAATTGAGTTGTATTTACATAGGATATATGCAGCTTAGAAATAAATACATACAATATATTGAACTTTAGGGAATTGTGAGATAAAAGAATGAATGTTCCATAAAATTAATGCAAATTAAATGCCAATGAGGTAGAAACACTACATATTTATAAAATGGTCTTAATAAACAATCATTTTGGTGCCAATTTTTACTAGGATGCAGAGTATTCAAAAATATTATTCATTACTGGTCAAAATGGCTAAATCCTTCACAAGATATCTGGATAAGGTATTTTAAAGCCTATGATAGTATCCTTATACAGTGCAGGAAGGATGTCCTGATGATTTACCCAGCTAACTGGAAAGCTTAGACCCACAATCTAGGATAAAAACATACACACCAGCTTTATTCCTAATGCCTAAAACCTGAATGAAATCAAAATGTTCTTTAGTAGATAAACAGAGAGCCAAGCTGTCACAGTAGGTGGAGGCTCTTGAAGGCACATGGAATTAGGAAATATGGGGCCTGGACACTGGACATGGGGACACAAGAGAAAAGGCATGGGCTGGAGTCACAGGGGTTCCAGAGACACAAGGAAGACATTGGCTTCAGGCAAGTAGCAGGCAGACAGCTGAAGGAAGCCGTAGTTGTAAGCAAAGGGCAGAGTGGTACCCATAGGCTTCCATGAACTGGGAGTAAAGGGACAAAGTCACTGCAGGGCAGGAGAAAGGTCACTCTATACAGAGAAAGACTGGAGACACACAAGTCCTGACAGGATGTATGGACAAGGGAGGTCAGCACTTAGGGAAAATTAGGGCTACATACAGAGTGGCTGGGGACCCATGGGGACTGGCATGGTGTGCAGGCCCAGCAGGAGACTTGCAGAGAGATGTGCTGTACATAAAAGGGATGAGGACTCTCACAGCTGGGACATGCTGCAGACACAAGGAGCAGAAGCTTTAAAGAGCTGGCTTGGATGACACTTTTTAAATGACAAAACTATCAAAATGAACAAGGGTCCCAGATAAAGGAGATGTTGAAATAGCAAATAACATATGGGCTTTAGGAACAGGATTAGAGATAAGCAAAGTGAGCAGACACATGGAACTGGAAACATTAGGAGGCAGACAGGGCATATTATTACAGGATTTGGAAACACAGCAAAAAATACAGGAGATGCAATATAAATTGTCACAGTAGGTGGAGACCTGCTTAGAGAAAATTTAGAGTCTCAAGTGATTGAGAACCAGTCATTATGGCTTCCTTTTTTAAAACTGATTTGTTTATTTGAGAGAAAGAGAGAGAGAGAGAGAATCTTCCATCATTCCACTGGTTCACTCCCCAAATGGTTTTAATGGCCAGAGCTGGGCCAGTCTGAAGCCAGGAGCCAGGAGCTTCTTCTGGATTCCCCACACAAGTGTAGGGCCAAGCATTTTGGCAATCTTTTGCTGTCTTTTCCAGGCCATTAGCAGGAAGCTGAACTGCAAATAGAGCAGCCTGGACTCAAACTGGTACCAATATGGAATGCTGGGGTTGCAGGTGGCAGCTTTACCCACTATGCCACAATGCCAGCTTCCTGCAGTTTCTTTCTTAAGAACTAAAATTAACTATAGAATAAACCACACAAGAGAGGCAAGTAAAAACAGGCAGGCATCAATGAAACCTGTAGAAAAATGCACAATAGAAATAAGGAAAAAGTGTTTTTAAAGCATATTAACAAAATTAATAAAAATTAGTATAAGTCATTAAGGAAACCAAAGAAAAATACCATACAAACAACCAGCTTCAGGAATCCAAATAGCATCATCTTCAAAAATTTTCTTTTTTTTTTTTTCATTTTAAAGATTTATTTGAAAGTCAGAGTTACAGGGGAGGCAGCAGAGTAAAGAAAAAAAAAAGAAAAACAAAGAACTACACACATACACATGAACACACACAGAGAGAGATAGAGAGAGAGAGAGAGAGAGAGAGAGAGAGAGAGAGAGAGATCTCCCATCCCTTGGGTCACTACCTAAATGGCTACAGTGGATAGGGAGGCAGAAGCCAGGAGTGAGGAGCCAGGAGATTCATTTGGGTCTCCTGTGTTGGTTGCAGGGGTTCAAACACTTGGGCCAGCTTCAGCTACTTTCCCAGGACACTTAGCAGTGTGCTACATTAGAAGTGAAGCACACAGGACTTAAATTGGTGCCTTTATGGGATGCTGGCATCCCTGATGCAGCTTTACTCATTACACCATAAAGCCCCCCAGATACCCTCCTCCATTTATAAACCTTAACAAGATAGTAAGTATTATGAGAAATAGTTTGGAGTAAAAAATTTTAAAGAGATATCAAGTCACTGAATTTTGGAAACCAATATACCATAACACAGATATTGCATACTGTAGAGAACTTCCATATAAGTTAAATAAGACTAATCAGTAGTTGAAAAATCAAATCAATGAATTTAAAAATTCCACAAGGAAAATTTCAGATTCAGACTTAGAAAATTCTAGACATTCAAGGAAGGTTGTTGCTCATTTTCCCAGATTCATCTAAAGTGGCAATAGACAGAATATATTTGAATTTCTTTTGAATTCATTGCTTTACATTAGTGGACACAGATCAGGTGGAAGGAACTTAACATAAATCTTTAATAAGAGATACAGGTATTTGAAGCAAAATATGAAAACAGAAGAGATCAACAACAAGCAGGATACATTAGAAGATGCAAAGATGATTTAACATTCCAAAATAATCCAAGTAAATAATTCATGTGTAAGAAAAATATAAGTAAATCACATGAATGTTGAGATTAAATGTTGAAAAGCTTTTAATACAACAACTTATAACTATAAAAAGAACAGAAAAATGATAGCAGTTCCCTAATTGTAATTAAGACTAGCTACAGAGAAGTAATAATAAACAGCATAATTAACACAGAACACTAAACGATTTTTCCCTGGAAATAATCTTGGACAAGGTTTTCTCCTCTCTCTTTCTTCAACATTGTCCTGGATGCATAATTAGAGAAATTAAACAAACAAAAAGAAATGTGAGGTATTGGGTTAGCTTTTAAGTAATAGAACTCTTAATGTATGTTAATGATATTAATATATGTAGAGAAAATCCAACATAAGCCAAAACCAAATATGAGCTGATAGGCGAATTAACTAAAATTATTGGGTACAGGATCAATACAATCAAGTAGGTTACCAGGTCCCCGTAAAAAGCAATTAGAAAACAATGGTAACGGACAAAGTACAATCCAGAAAATGAATATCTGTATGAGAAATACTCTTCAATTCCGTATTTAACAAAATCAAATGACCTAACAGAAAAATAAGCCAAGAACACAAAGAGAAAAAGGCCCAGAATCCATAAACAGTAAACTGTAACTCACCTGAGGATTATGGCAAGCTCCAGATTCAAGGTCTGAACAGGATCTCAGGAGATGGGATCCTGCGGGCGGGGCAGCACCCCCTGCAGTCGGGAAGGCCAAGTTTCAGGCCTGAGACCAAGCCCCGCCTTTCACTCCCCCACTCGATGTAACCCCAAGGGCCCGCCCTCACACTAGGGATGATGCTGATTGGGTGCGTCCTCTGTGACGTCATGCAGCCTCTGTGACTGTTGAATCAGGTGCGCCATGGCAACAGGGCAGACCCTGGGGGATCCTCTTCCTGGTCTGCTCCTGAGAGAGCCCCGGTCAGCTCAGACACTTCTACCCTGAACTCCCCTCAGCGCAGGGCCCTGAGAGGACGCCCGGAGTCCCTGGTCGCAGGAAGCGGTGAGTGTGAGTCCCAGGCCCACAGGAGGTGAGGGGAGCGGGCAGCTGCAACCCTGGTGTAAGGCCCTGTCTCAGTGTGCAGCGACTCCACCTGAACCCGGCCTCACCTCTCCAGGTTGTGTGGGGAGAAGGAGAATCTGAACCTCACCCGTGACCTGATTTCCTTGAGTTGGGCACCTGGGTCTCAGGTCCATAGCTTTTCCTAGGGGTTTTGTTGCTAATGATGTAACAGCAACCACATGTTTTTAAGCCAAGGATGCGGGGCAGGGTGTGGGGACGGACTTCTGCTGGTGAGGCTTGGGATGGCACAGATCCCCCGTGGACAAATGGAGAGTGGGGGAGTCCAACCCCAGGTAGTGTGAGCACCAAGACCTGGAGCCTGGGGAACCTGAGTGTGGGTTCAACAGGCAGCCTCCCAGCGCTCATTCCACTCATGTCTTTTGCAGAAATTTGCTTCCATTTATTCACAGTCTGCCCACTTGTGTAGGAACTGTGTGACTTGATTTGAATGTTACACTGCTGTTTTCTTTGATGAAACCTGAGTTTATTCAGTAATAAGATTTGAAAAAGGAAAGAGGATCTTTTATTTTCTGCTAAGTTTGATTAATAATGTAAACACTAATGGAATGGCTACCCAGGTAAATAAGTGGGCCTTGGTCAGTTCAGGGGTCCTGTTTCTTTTTGAAGTTTTATTTATTTATTTGAAAGGTAGAGTTACAGAGAGGTAGACGTGGAGAGAGAGAGAGAGAAAGAGTGAGAGAGAGAGGTCTTCCATCCATTGGTTCACTCTCCAGATGGCCACAATGGCCAGAGCTGTGCTGATCCAAACCAGGATCCAGGAGGTTCTTCCTGATCTCCCATGGGGGTGCAGGGCCCCAAGAACTTGAGCATCTCCCACTTTCCCAGGCCATAGCAGAGAGTGGGATGGGAAGTGGAGTAGCTGGGTTGGGAACCGGCACCTGTATGGGATGCTGGCAATGCAGGCAGCAGCTTTATCTGCTGTGCTACATTGTTGGCACCAGGGGTCTTCTTGATCTCTTCTACCTCTGCCCCCACTGGTGAATGAGCTGAGGTTCTTTTTAATGTTGTGTGTGTGTGTGTGTGTGTGTGTGTGTGTGTGTGTGTGTGTGTGTGTGTGGCATAAAGCTATTACTCTCAGCTGGCACCGCGGCTCACTAGGCTAATCCTCCACACCTGTGGTGCCTGCACACTGGGTTCTAGTCCTGGTCGGGGCGCCGGATTCTGTCCCGTTTGCTCCTCTTCCAGTCCAGCTCTCTGCTGTGGCCTGGGAAGAAAGTGGAGGATAGCCCAAGTGTTTGTGCCCTGCACCCATGTGGGAGACCAGGAGGAAGCACCTGGCTCCTGGCTTCAGATTGGCGCAGCGTGCCAGCTGTAGCTGTCATTTGGGAGGTGAACCAGTGGAAGGAAGACCTTTCTCTCGGTCTCTCTCTCTTACTGTGTCACTCTGCCTGTCAAAATAATAATAATAATAATAAGCTATTACTCTCAACAGTGAGCTTTTCTTTGTTTATTTTGTGATATTTGTGATAATATTTTAATTTTTTTTCATGTGTTGCTTCACAGTATGTTTTTAAAATAATGCAAAAATGTTGTTAGGCTATAGGTTGTGAATAAATTCTACTTCTGTAGGCAGTGTTAGTGGAATACAAGGATTAAGTATCTAACTTTTCATGCTTATGCACTTACTAAGTTTTTGACTTCCCAGCAGTTAGATTTACCTTATTTATTTATCCCACCTGGTGTTAACTGACATTTCTGGTTGGTAACATATTCCTAGTTCCTAATGACCACTGGTTGAGTATGTATACTGTTGATCTATTTGTACTGATTAGGAATGATGGATCTGTATTTTTGCTTGGAGTTATATAAGTTTTCTCTTACATAACTTAATGCTCTACTTAGGGGCACTGGTAGCAAGCCTTGTAATGTCTTCTTGAAGAACTGCCAGTTGTCTCACTGTGTAACCCTTGTAGTAGTCTGACCTAAATTCTGATTAGTCTGAAATGAATGCTGTTTTTCTACATTTAATTGAATTGGTATTGTAATGGACTATTTTTCTGCATATTTTTATTTTTAAGCAGCTGTGTATAGATGTGTCTTAAATTGATGAGAATGGAATTTGGAAATATTTATATAATTTAAATGAACAAGGGAAGGCAATTACCATCTCCATTATGTTATGTACCTATTTTCATGATAAGAATCCTTAAAAGTCTAAATTCTTATTTATTTTTCTATAGTAGAACACATTGTTATTAACTATTTTCACCATGTTGCACAACAGACCTCTTGAATGTATTCCTACTATGCAAATGAAATGTGATTGGCCAAGATGACTTCAAATTCCCTTCATGTATCTGTATATTTAAATGGTTTTCCTATAGACAGCACGAAGTTGGGTCTTGGTTTTATTTTTCCCATGTCAATCTCTATCTTTAGTGTATTTAGATAATGCACATTTAAAGTGATTATTGATGTAAGTGGGTTAGTATGTAATGTGGTTGCAATCATTTTCTCTGTTATGCTTTTTTTTAAGTCTTATTTATTGATTTTCGTTTATTTGAAAGGCAGAGAGACAGAGAGAGGGAGATCTTCCATTGGCTGTTTCACCCCCTCTGGAAAAAAAAAAAAAAAAAAAACCTATAACAGTTGCAACTCAGCCAGATTGAACACAGGAGCCAGGAAGTCCATCCTGGTCTTGCACATGTGTGGCAGGGACCCAATAACTTGAGCCATCCCCTATTGTCTCCCAGGGGGTGCATTCACAGGAAATTGAATCACAAGTGGGGTTGCTGAACTCAAAGGTGGCACTCTTATATGGGACATGGTTATCAAAATTGGAGTGTCAATTTGTTAAGTCAACAACAGGAGTCACTGTGCACATACTCCCCATGTAGGATCTCTGTCCTTAATGTGTTGTACAATGTGAATTAATGCTATAACTAGTACTCAAACAATACTTTACACTTTGTCTTTCTGTGTGGGTGCAAACTGTTGAAATCTTTACTTAATATATACTAAATTGATCTTCTGTATATAAAGATAATTGAAGATGAATCTTGATATGAATGGAATGGAGGAATGGAGAGGGAGTGGGAGATGGGAAGGTTGCGGGTGGCAGGGAAGTTATGGGGGGGGGAGGTCACTGTAATCCATCAGCTGTACTTTGGAAATTTATATTTATTAAATAAAAGTAAAAAAAAAATGGTGTGTTTAGCTGTTGCACCAAATGCCCATGCCGATTCTTGTTTTTAAACATTTTTTTGTAATCTTATTTTATATTTTAAATTTTTTTATTTATTTAATTCATTAAAGACAGAGATACAGAGTGATCTACCATGTGCTGGTTCACTCCTTAAGTTTCCAACACTGTGGCATAACAGGTAGAGCTGCCAACTGTCGGTTTATTAATAGTCCCATATTATATATATATATATATATATATATATATATATATATATATATATATATATATCATATTTCTATGATCAATTATATATATTCTATGATCAATTATGTCTTTTTTTAAAGATTTTATTTATTTGTTTGGGAAGCAGTTACAGACAGAGAGGAAAAGAGAGAGATAAAAGATCTGCATCCACTGCTTCAGTCCCTAAATGGCTCCAAGGGCTGGAAGGTGGTCTGATCCAAAGCCAGGAGCCAGGAGCTTCCTCCAGGTCTCCCACATCAGTGCAGTAACCCAGGGCTTGAGCCATCTTCCACTGCTTTCCTAGGCCATAAACAGAGAGCTGGTTGGAAGTGGAGCAGCCAGGTGACAAACCAGTGTTGATATGAGATGCTGGTGCTGCAGGTGGAGTCTTAGCCCACTGTCCCACAGTGCTAATCCCCAGCCATGGCTTTTAATTTCTGTGTTTGTCTGATAATTGCGGTGGCCTTCTAATTGGCTGTAGGAAATATAAGCAGAGAAAAGAGTGCATTGCTTTGCTAGGGTGGCCATAACATAATACTGTCGAATATGTGGCTCGAATCACAGCAATATATTTCTCATAGTTCTAGAGATTATATATTTGAGAGCAAGATGATAATGGGTTTGGTTGCTCCTGAGACCTCTCTTTGGTTACCACATAGCCACCATGTTACTGTACCCTTACATGGTATTTCTTCTGTCTATGTGCATCCCTCCTTATAAGAACATTGATCAGTTTGAATCAGGGCTTCACATTTATGATATCATTTGATGTCAATTATCTGCTTAAAGTCTTATCTCCAAATAGGGTCACATTGCTTGTCAGCGTTTCATGATATAAATTTTAGAGAGATACAGATCAGCCTGTAGTACTTAGAAGGACCCAGGGATTTGCCCTGTAGGAAGCTGTCTCCAAGGAAGACTTCATTTTTGAAATGTGTGTTAATGTTTCTCACAGTATCATTTTCTTTTTTTTTTTTTTTTTGACAGGCAGAGTGGATAGTGAGAGAGAGAGAGATAAAGGTCTTCCTTTACCGTTGCTTCAACCTCCAATGGCTGCTGCGGCCAGTGCGCTGTGGCCAGTGCACCAAGCTGATCTGAAGCTGGGAGTCAAGTGCCTCTCCTGGTCTCCCATGCAGGTGTAGGGCCCAAGCACTTGGGCCATCCTCCACTGCACTCCCGGGCCACAGCAGAGAGCTGGCCTGGAAGAGGGGCAACTGGGACAGAATCCGGTGCCCCAAATGGGACTAGAACCCGGTGTGCCGGTGCCGCAAGGTGGAGGATTAGCCTATTGAACCATGGCACCAGCCTCATGGTATCATTTTCAATACCGTATGTAAATATTGCTGCATGCATGAACATGCATGTGCACAAACCCCTGTATACATTAGATACATTATTGTGAAGATGTTTAATGCTTGCATGGAGGTAAAGTTAATATAGTAATCCATATGATGACATACTGGGGCCAGCAGTGTGGAATAGAAGGTTGAGCCTCTGCCTGCAGTGCCAGCACCCCATATATGTGTGGGTTCAAGTCCTGGCTGCTCAACTGCTCATCCAACTGCCTGCTGATGCACCTGGGAAAGCAGCAGAAGATGGCCCAAGTGCTTGGACCCTGCACCCACATGAGAGACCTAGAAGAAGCCTCTGGATCCTAGCTTCAGCCTAGTGTAGCCCCAGCTGTTGCTGCCATTTGGGGAGTGAACTAATGGATGGATGTTCCATCTCTATCTCTCCCTCCCTCTCCCTCACCCTTTCTCCCTCCCCTTCCTTCCCTTCCTCCTCTTCTCTCTGTATCTCTGCCTTTCAAATAAACAAATCTTATTTAAAAATGACACAGTAACAAACATTAAAACATTATGAAAAGTAGAAAAATGATAAAACTGAATAAGTGTGTTATCCAATATCTAATTCCTAAAACATAAACAGCAAACAAGGAGTGTTTTCTTAACATGGTTAAATTTTTTAAATTATAATTACTCAAAACTTAAACTTTTCATTATAGGGACACAATGGCAAGCTACTTTACCAAAAGCATAAATCCAATACCACTATAGTAATTTTTCATTATTGTTTCCTATTTTTTCAATATTATCTACTTAATTGTGAATTATGGTGGGCTTTTCTGCTCTTTGAATACCACTTATAGTATTTAAGAAATTTACAAATTTATCATCGAGTGTGTTTTTTCAACCCAGGCACTGATATTGCCAGTTTAGTGAACACTGGGGTGGCCACTGCAGGATTTAAAATGAAATTTATATTATAATGACATAGGTCTCCCTAAAATCTTCAAAGCCTCCAAAGCACATAAATTATCACATCAGTAATTTATTAGAGATATTTGATTTAGTTTTATTTTTATGGTTAATGTGTCATTACTGTTTGGCAGTTAGAAATATAATTGATAAAGCAGGACTAAGAACCAAAGGGATCACATAAACAAGAATAGTGTCTGCAAACACTAGCTGATAGAATCAAAAAGGCAGAGAATGATCCAACATGGGAAGTGAGATACACAGCAGACCCATAGAATGGCAAATGTCCTAACAGCACTCTGGCCTCAGAATCAGCCCTTAAGGCATGCGGATCCTGCTGAAATGCCCAGGAGAGTATTTCAGGCATGGAAAGCCAAGACACTCTGGGGGAGAAAAAAAAAAAAACTAAATGAAAGATCTCTGTGAGTGAGATCCCAGTGGAAAGAATGGGTCATCAAAGAAGGAGGTACCTTTCTCTGAAGGGAGGAGAGAACTTCCACTTTGACCATGGCCTTGTCTACATATGATCAGAGTCAGTGAACTCAGGGGGCTTCCATAGCCTTGGCAGCTCATGACAAGAGCCTAGGGTGATTACTGAGGCCATAAACAAGAGTGTCAATTTGTTAAGTCAACAACAGGAGTCACTGTGCACTTACTCCTCATGTAGGATCTTTGTCCTTAGTGTGCTGTACATTGAGATTTAATGCTATAACTAGTACTCAAACAGTATTTTTCACTTTATGTTTCTGTGTGGGAGCAAACTGTTGAAATCTTTACTTAATGCATGCTAAACTGATCTTCTGTATATAAAGAGAATCGAAAATGAATCTTGATGTGAATGGAAGGGGAGAGGGAGTGGATAAGGTGAGGGTTGCGGGTGGGAGGGACGTTATGAGGGGGAAGTCATTGTAATCCATATTCTGTACTTTGGAAATTTATATTCATTAAATAAATGTTAAAAAAAAGTAAGCATTAAGATTGCATGTTTCCTAGAAAGAATTTTGGCATGACAGTGTGAGTATATGTCTGCCTTCATTTTAGTAGGATTTATAAAAAATGTTTTAAAAAGATATATTACTTATTCATTTGAAAGGCAGAGTGACAAAGGGTGGGAGAGTTTACTCCATCAATGGCCCAAGGATCCAGACAAAGCAAGGCCAAAGCCAGTAGCCCCAAATTCCTTTTGGTTTCCCATATGTGACAGGGGCTAAAGCATTTGGACAATCATTTGTTGTTATTCCAGGTGCATTATCAGGAAACCAGATCAGATTCATAGTAGCTAGGACTGGAACTGGTTTTCTAATGCAGATGCCAAGTAGTTCAAATGGTGGCTTTACCACAATGCCAGCCCTGACAAATTTTGTTTAAAAGAAAGGAAAATTCTTGTACCTTCCCTAGAAATGGTTCCAAAGACACTTGCAAGTAAAGAAATATTTACTGAAGACAGATTTGTTAAGAGCAGAGAGACTCAGTGCTTATGGATCCAGACCTGTTTCCTACCTTCCCTATCACAACTCAGTGCAATGGAAACTCCAATCCTAAGTGCAACTGAGAACACATGGCACTCTCTCCTGCTAGCTGCCAGCTTGGGATGACATCCTCATTTTTTTTCCTGTCCTCAGTTGCCTACTGCCAGAACTATGTGCTGGGTGAGTGTAGCTGAGAGGAAGGGCTCAGACCACACTTGAATAATGGAGACTCTGTATTGGGCATTAGGATGCTTGGATCTCATCCCCACAACATGCAATGTCCACTGTAGGCACATCCATAGAAACAGTACATTTGCAGTGACTTTGGGTTGAAAGTATTAGGGATATTAAAGAGACAGCCTTCTTTTTATTTATTTTTTATTTTATAAGCAAGGACAAATAACAATGAAAGAAAGTTTCCACCTGCTGGGTCATTCTCCATTCAAAACAAATAAGACTGAGCTAAGTTAAAATTGGAAGCTGGTAAGATAGGCATGATAACACTGAGAATTAAGTATTAATTGGGATGCTCACTTCCCTTTTCAGAGGGTCAGTTCAGATCCCAGCCACTTTGCTCCTAATCCAGCTTCTGACTATTAGGCCTGGGAAGGCAACCCATGTTGGCCCACACCAGTATGGGAGATGAGACCTGCATGGAATTCCTCAGCCCTAATTTTGCCTTGGCCCAACTTTGGCTGTTGTAGGTATTTGGAGAGATGGGGGCATAAACCACCAGATGGAAAAATCTCTGTCACTCTCTCTGAATTTCAAATAAATTATTTTTAAACAGTTATAAATTGGGAGCTAGGCACTCAATTTTGGTCAACAATGTAGCTAGGTGTCCCAACTACTTGAGCCTGTACCTTCTGGGTGATACAGACCTAGGGTGACCATTAGCAAGAAGCTGGAGCTGAATCAGGATGGAGCTGGGACTCAAACCCAGGCTGTCTGGGATGTGCTGACCCAAGCAGTTTATTAACCACTAAACTCAACCTCAACACTTTAAGGAGATAAAAAAAAATTATAAAATTGTCAATGGTGATGGTTACAACTGAATGAAAACAGTGAATTGTATAGGTACTATTAACAGATGAATCTCATGGGAATTTGCATTTATATCCAATTATGCTATTTAAGAAAATTATATAACTTAGAATATATTGTATTATTTCAAACTTTTCATGTAATGTATATTTTAGTGTCTCAAATTCCAATGCACATAAAATGTCGACTTTCCTCTGTAGGTTACATTGCATATTTACATATAAATATGAATATAAATGTAAGACCAAGGGATGACAGCATATTAACTAGATAAGGAACAGTGATTGATTCAGGACCAAGGGATATTGGTTAAAAGATGACATTAATCTTTTCTGTATATCTTTTCTGAGAATAAAATTAAGAAATGAATTAACATGAAACAAACCATGGTCAGACATCAGAGGCATGTGAATATATAATTTACCAGAGATGAATCTGAGAAGACTAACATTTGGGACTGACATTGTGGTGCAGTAGGTTAGGACACTGCTTGCAATGCTGGCATCCTATATTGGCATGTCATTTGGAGTCCTGGCTACTCTGCTTCTGATCCACATTCCTGTGAGTGTGTTTGGGAAAGCAGTGGAACATGGCCCAAGAACTTGGATCCCTACCAGCCATATAGGAGACCCAGATAGAATGGCCTGGTCCTGACTCCTGGCCCCATCCTGGCTGTTGCAGACACTTGGGGAGTGAGCCACAAGAACGAAGATCCATCTATCTCTTTGTCAGTCTCTCCTGCCTCTCTCCTTATTTCCCTTTCAAATAAATCTTTAAAAAAGAAAAAGATTAACCTCATTTCATAATCCTTGTGATGGAATCTTAATTACCCAATCTCCTTTCTATTCATCTCTCCCTTTATACTACAGGGACTATTTATTCCCATTCATCCAGTACAAATTACTTACTAGAATTGCTGTCATGACTTGGTGCTCAAAAACATGAACTGCAATCATCATATGATATCTATACTTAAGAAACAGATAAAGAAGTTGCTTAAGGTTAGCCATCTATTTGTGAGTATGTTCTTCCCGCTTTTATTCATATCAGGACTCCTCATTGAATCCAAATATCTGACCCCAGTAGGAACAGCTCCCATTGAAAGAGGTATGTGATGACCAAGGGAACAATTCCTGGGAATGGGTATGAGAAACCAGTATGTTGTGTTGCTAAACTAGTTCTTTGATCCCTGAAAGTTCATTTTTTTTATTTCAAGGAATGTGTCATAGAGACCCATTTTTTTAAGCATGTAATTTCTTCTGTGTCCTGAGATGAGAGTTCCTAGGCTATAAATTCAATTTTGCACAATAGTCACTAAAGGGCAATGGCAGGATCAGAGAAGGCTTGGGAATTTCAACAGGGCAAACCATAGGTGAGGCACAAAGAAAGCCAGGGATAGGCTGTGGGTCAAGAGTCAATACCCTGTCCTACTCCACTCAAGCCCATCTCAATTCTAGCCATCTTCATATGAGAGCTCCATGAAACCCTCTGTTGGCCTCTTTGCCTAGTTTGTAACATAAACCAATGAGTAGAGGGAAAAGTTCAGATCTATTTCTTAGAACAGTAAGTGATTTGTTAGATATTTAGATGGACAGATGGATTTCAGAAGCTCTTAGTTATGTAACTAATGGAGATTGAAACCTTTGTATTTGTGGACACTTTTTGTTTCAAAATATGCACTAGAATAGTTTTCTCAACTCTGGAATATGACCCAAGGATGGAACACTAATTATTTTAGTAGAAAAGACTAAGTATCTTTATATGACCATACTTCCCCTCCCCATACTGTCTATGGATTGTGTGAATCAAATATGTTTATAATGCAAGTTTTTCTCTTTTAATATCAGTTACCCATTTTTTGACAATCATAAATGTTGCAGAGATTCAGTGTTGGTCCGTTTCCAATTATTATTTTTTAATTTTTTTTTTTTGATAGGCAGAGTAGACAGTGAGAGAGACAGAGAGAAAGGTCTTCCTTTTCCCATTGGTTCACCCCACAATAGCCGCTACAGCTGGTGTGCTATGGCTGGTGCACCACACTGATCTGAAGCCAGGATCCAAGTGCTTCTCCTGGTCTCCCATGTGGGTGCAGGGCCCAAGCACTTGGGCCATCCTCCATTTTCCTCCTGGGCCACAGCAGAGAGCTGTACTGGAAGAGGAGCAACTGGGACAGAATACAGCACCCCAACTGGGACTAGAGCCCGGTGTGCTGGCACCACAGGTGGAGCATTAGCCTATTGAGCCACAGCGCCGGCCCATTTCTAATTATATAAAATGTGAGCAAATCAGACTACTGCTGATAATCACTTTGTAAAATATAAATAAAATGCAATACAGTGCCCAACTAGAGTATAAAATATTTCAATATATTCTTTTTTAAAAAAGATTTAGTTATTCATTTGAAAGTCAGAGGAGAGGCAAAGACAGACAGAGAGAGAGGTCTTCCATCCTATGGTTCATTCCCCCATTGGCCGCAATAGCTGGAGCTGTGCTGATCCGCCTTCTTCTGGGTCTCCCAGGCCCAGGGGCTCAAGCACTTCGATCACCCTCCACTGCTTTCCCAAGGCACAGCAAAGAGCTGGACTGGAAATGGAGCAGCCAGGTTTCAAACTGGCACTCATATGGGATGCTGGCACTTAAGGCCAGGATGTTAAACCACTGTGTCACAGCACCAGCCCCTCAATACATTCTTATGATATCCAGGCATTTTGTGTGGCAGCAGCCTAGCTGACAGAGTTGGCATGACTCATGCTCACGAACAGGTCTATGTGAAGGTCTCTTGATTGTATATGGCATGCAATTAAATTCTTCCTTACCAAGAGTATATCAGCATTTGATATATAACAAATCAACAAAAATTTATGTTATAATTTTCTTTGTAATTATTTTTTAAAGGCTGAGCATCAGAGAAGGGGTGGAGGAGGGAGGGACAAAGGATGAGGGAGAAAGAGAGACTGTTCCATCTACTGCTTGATTCACTCTCTAATTATCCTAACAGCCAGGGCTATGCCAGGCTGAAGCCAGAAGGAAATAATCTTACCTGCATCTCTTTTGAGGGTAACAGGAACCCAAGTACTTATCCATCATCCACTACCTCCCAGGTACAACAACAGGGTGTTTTATTTTAAGTATGGAATAACCAGGATGAAAACCACAAATTTGCTTATGGGATGTGTGTCCCAAGCAATATTCTAATCTGCATCACCATATACAACCCTCTCAAGTTTGGTGGTTTGCTCTGGCTCTTGCCCAAACTCTGTGTCTCCAATAGGCAAGTCCCAGACTTCTTCATAATATAAATGTTTAATAAGGTAAACTCCAATAAGCAAGTACTTTTCAAAGTGTGTAGGTTTCATATTTACTGATGTCCAGATGTGTAAAGCAAGAAAAATGGTAATGCCAAGGATCATTGTGATGAAGATTATTTGAAGGCTTGTGTGTTGGGAGGTGTGTTATTTGGGATAATTACTAGGAAAGTATAGTACAATAAGTATGTATTATATCCATTTTTACTGTACAGTTGTGGGTAAAAATACACAGATTGCTAAATGACTAAATTCTATAGGATTTTCAGTATATGGACAGACTCCTGTTCAGTACATCTGTAGTAATACCAAAGTAGTTAATACCACTCAAGTATTTTTTTTCTGTAGTATGGTTTTAGTGACAAAATGATGTTTATTTCTATGATATACTGAAATTTGTTTTAAACAGTCATCCTGAAAATAATAAATTGCTTCTCAGTCATAACATTAGCTTTTTTATTTAAAGATATATTTTATTTATTAAAAAGACAGAGTTACAGAGAGAGGTAGAGACAGAGAGAGAGGTCTTCTATCTGCTGGTTCACTCTCCAGATGGCTGCAATGGCTGGAGCTGCACCGATCCAAAGCCAGGAGCTAGGAGCTTCTTCTGGATCTTCCATGTGGGTGCAGAGGCCCAAGGACTTGGGCCATCTTCTACTGCTATCCCAAGCCATAGCAGACAGCAGGATCAGAAGAGGAGCAGCTGGTACTAGAATCATTGCCCATATGGGAAGCCGGTGCTTCAGGCCAGGGCATTAACCCACTGTGCTACAGTACCGGCCCTATCACTTGCTTTTTAAAAATAAGTAACAACAAAATGATTCCATTAACCTAAGGATAACTAGATTTAATCACTGCCAGTTAGTAAAATTTTGGGTGCTCTTTCAGGATCTTCCCTTCCCCTTATCAAGTGTAAATTGCTAAATCACCACAGAGATTGTTTCTGTTTCTCCAGCTAATATATCTATAATTCTGCATTCATTTCTATCATGATCTTCCCTACATTGTAGAGTCTAAGTGCAAGCGAGACCAGTTCTCTTACAACTCCCTGTATTCACTTTCTTTTCCAGGTGTAATTGTAGATACCACTACATGTTTCAGGGGCCAAAGAAAATGAATACAACACCAGTAAGTTGTTTACTTATTTCTCAACTTGTTTTACATTGTATTATAGGAGCTTTATGAGCATTTTTAAATTAAAATGGAAACATAAAAGTGATAAACAAGGTAGTATTGTCATAGTTATAAGGTATTAGAGCCATCAGAGCTGATTGTAAATTTGTCTACAGTCTTTCTGGTGCCTCAAAGACATATCTGTTACATGGTCAAATCAGAAATTAGAATTTGCTAAATTCTAGTGGAAAATGAAGTCTGGAATAGTATTTATTGGTCATATGATGCTAAAGTGGAAGTGGTTTAGTTCCAATCTAGAAATAAACATACAACATTCTGCACTGGTAAGAGTTGCTAACTGGTAATAAATCAGTTAATAAAGTGTTTTAGGAATTGTGAAAATACCCTTGGGAGACTGTACCAGATTTATGGATTGGACTGGGGTTGTGTGGAGAGCAGAATCTCTTCAGGTTCTTAAACAGCTCTACATACATTTCTTCCTGCCAGACTATACATGCTGGTTGTGCTGCAAACTTCCCAAAGCTCTGTCTTCCAGCAAATCATTCCATTCTTCATTCATACTTTAAGCTACTCAAAGTACCCTCAATTCAAATAGTCAAATATTTATCAATGTCATTAAGTATATTGTCTGGCTTTTTCCTTGCTTGAATCTTTTACATTTAAAATATATTTACATATTTGAGAATTAGAAAGAGAGACAGGTAGATTAGGAGAAATCAAAGAGCGTCTTATCCACTAACTTACTCTCCTAAATATCCATAGTAACCAAGAATGAATCCAAGAGCCAGGAATGTACTCCTTTTCCCTGACATGAGTGGTAGAAGCCTAATTACTTGGATTATCACCACTGCCTCCCAGCACATGCGGTAGCATAAAATTGGACTCAAAGCAAGAGCTGGGAATAAAAACAAGCACTGTTAACTAGAATTAGAATATCTTTTTAAAATTTTATTTGTTATATAAGTAGAACAGATTTCATGCATTTCCTATATATGGTTTTAAGAGCATGATGATACTTTTCACTCTCCCTTCCCTTCCTCCTTTTCCCTTTCTTATTTTTCTTTTAATTTGTGTGATAGCACATTTTCAAGTTACTTTATAATCACAAGCTCAGCCCTCCACTAAATAAAGAATTCAACAAGTAGATAGTAGAAACGTCACTGTTCCTGAGGAATATAGAAAAGGGATACAGATGATAATCAGATCTCAAGATGTCAGTTTCACTCATACATTTTTTTCTGCTGTATAGGCTACCAAAAATCAGAGAAAATATTTTTGTATTTTTAGGGTTGACCTGTTTCAGTAGGCATAATTGTCTTCAATTGCATCCATTTGTTGCAGAAGAAGGATTTCATTCTTTTTTATGGCTGAGTAGTATTCCATTTTATATATGTGTGTGTGTACACACATACACACACACACACATACCACATTTGCTTTATCTAGTCATCAGTTTATGGACATCTGGGTTGATTCCCTATCTTAGCTATTATGAATTGAGCTGCTATATAAAGTTGGGGGCACAGGTAATTCTTTCATATGCTGATTTTATTTCCTTTGGGTAAATTCCCAGGAGTGGGATGACTATGTCATATGTTATATCCATTTTTGGATTTCTGAAGAATCTCCAAAATGTCTTCCATAATGATTGTGTTAGTTCACATTCCCACCTAAGTGTATTAGGGTATATTTGCCTACATTCTTGCTAATATTTATTTGGAGGGGCACTTTTGGGTGAAAGCCATTCTTACTGGGGTGAAGTGAAACCTCATTATGGTTTTTATTTTCATTTCTCTTGTGCAAATCTTGTTGCCTTGGCTTTGGTTCTAGGTGAACCCAGGATTGTAGTGTCTGAGTGAGTCCTTTTATTTTAGTGGCTGTCAGCTGTGTCTGTTAGTAACACAATGGTCTAGTCAGCTGCAGTTCCTAGGGATGAATAAGTGTTTCTTTGGGTGTGCATCTTTGGTCCACAGATTCTGTGTTAGTCTCCCTGATGATTGTGATAGCCAAGGGCTTGTTCTTGGTGCTGAGGAAGATGAGGATGGCTGGTCCTTGACTTACTGGCAAGCTGAGTGATACTGGGATTTGTGGCACTGATTTCTGTGGCTTTAGGACTGTGCGATATGGATTGTCCCTTCCTCAGTTCTTGGTAAGAGAGTCCAACTGGTACTTTGTTGAGTAATAACAACAACCCTAGTCCTAGGACTAGGTGTACAGGTTTTACTCTGCAGAGTATGGGTCCAGAGAGGAGGAATGCAAGCAGGTTCTTCCCTATGTCCACTGGGTAGATTTCAGTGGCACCCAGAAATTTACAATAAATTGTTACAGTCCTGGTCTTTCAGGTATAGTGGATCATTACCCAGATCTCCTGGGGTGGGAACAAACATTTTTATGGCCTGCTTCTGGTGGTAGCCCCCAGAAGCTAAGGTGATTTTCTCTGGCTCAGGTAGAGTATGTGAGTGTAGCTCTGCCCCCAAACTCCCACAGATGCAGGATGCAGGGATCTGTCTTTTACCTTACACATTGCCCTGACTCTACAGTGCTGGTAGGAGCAGAGCAGAGGCTCACTGTGTATCTTCTCTGCTCAGTGTCATGCTCTGCAGGAATCAGGGAGGGGAAGGAAGCAAGGAGGCTTCCTTGCTCCAAGCTCATCAGTTGCTCAGACCCCATCAGCTCTCAGGTTGAGGTAGGAAGTCAGTGGGTGACTGACTTTTTTTTTTTTACTTCTTTGTCTAACATTTCAGTCAGTCACTTCTCTGGAAAATAGTATTTCCTTTGTTCTGTTCATATCTCAGAGCAGCTTAAGTCATTATGGCTATACCCGATTCAGCCATCTGGATCTCACCATGATATATTTTTGATTTGTAGCTCATCATTTATTCTGTTGTTGTAAATGTTGGACAGTGATTTATAAATATTATTTTGGTCAATACTGTCATTCATGTTTATGGTTGATGTTTTATTAGTTTCATCAATTACTATAAAATGTAAATCAATTTCTAACATTACTTTTGAGGATTTTTCTTAAGTTTCTTTTTTTAGTTTTGTGGACTTTGTTTCATATCATTTGAGGTTTTGTTTTTAGGCACATTAGCATTATAATGATATGATCAGCCTGATGTATTATCTGTTTATTATGATGAAAAGTCCCTGAGTATTTCTTTAGCCATATAAGACCCAAAAAATCATTTGGTTTGACCCTGCCAAGACAACCACAGGTGGTATTATTAATTCAAGGAGCTAATAACAAGCTAATTTTAAGTTGATAATTTTGTATGGACAGCACATAATGTTGTAATATCCAAATGGCCTTTGTCAGTAAAAAATGCTCCTATGTTCCTAACTCCTACTAATCCAAGTATTCATTTTGTATCATTTTATTTGAAAATGAACTGCTTCTTTTATATTATATTCTCATTTTCCTGTTCAGAAAATGTCTTTTGTATACTTCATGGATTAATGCTTTATTTATTTTTATTTACTTGATAAAAATTAAGAGCTCTATCTGCTGTTTCACTCCCTCAAATACCTGCAATGGCTGGAACAGGGTTGAGGCTAAAGCCAGGAGGCTGGAACTCAATCCAGATCACTCATGTGGATATCTGTGACCCAGCTACTAGAGCCATCATCTGGCACTTACCTGGTGTGCATTATTATGAAGTTAAATCACAAGCAAGGTTAGGAACTTTGATATGAGATGTGAGCATCCAAAGAAGCAGCTTAACCCAATGAGCGAAAATACCTGCCCTTGTTCATCTCATATTTACAGCAATTAACACTACATATAGGATCAAAGATGGAAGGATATTTTTTTCAGTGTAGTGAAGATTTCTTTCACTAATTTCTGAAGGAGAAGTCAGCTATCATTCATACATAGCTGACCCAGTAGGCTGTTGTTTCTTTCACAACATTCAAGGTCTGTTCTTTGTATTTGGAATCCTTCATTTTATTTGCCTTTAGTAGCTTTCTATCTGTTGATTAAGGGGTCACTGAACATTTCAAATCTATAAATTGATGTTTTTTAATAAAATTTGAGAAGCTTTTCACCCATTTCAAAATACATATTTTGTTTTTCATTTATTCTCTTCCTACTGAAATTTATTGCAGTTATGAGGGACTTCACAAAGATTCTGGAAAGTTGAAAGAAAAAAAGTTTATTTTAGTGCCAAAAATGTTAGTAACCCATGCATAAAACTGGTCTATAAGTTCATTGAAAATGCATAAATGCATACTATAAAACATGATTCATAAAGGATATGGAAAGTGTGTATTTGTAGATTAAATTTTTTTTAACCAAAGTGAACTTTTCTTTTTAATTCTGCATTTTAATGTTAGATTACTTTCTATATTGTTCCTGGACTTCTGAAGCCTTTGCATATTTATGTAGTATCTTTCATTAATTAAAAAAGGCTTTTAGGGGGGTGACACTGTGGCATGGTGGGCTATAGCCTCTGGCTGTGGTGCTGGCATCCCATATTGGTACCAGTTTGTATCCCAGATGCTCCTTTTCCAATCCAGCTTATGGCCTGGGAAGGCAGCAGAAGGTGGCCCAAGTGCTTGGTTCTCTGTACCCACATGGGAGACCCAGAGGAATCTCCTGGCTTCTGATTGGCTTAGCTCTGGCTGAGCCATCTGGAAAGTGAACCAGTGGATGGAGGAACTTTCTGTCTTTCATTCTGTCTGTAACTCTGCCTCTCAAATTAATACATACAGTCTTTAAATAAAAAATGTCTTTTGATCTATGTCCATCTTAGTCTCTTTGTGATAAGACTGTCAAACAGGTTATTAGAAAGAAAACATTTTTTGCCAAAATGTATTTACTTTAAAATACTTTTTTCAAAATGTATGTACTTTCTCTTTCTGTTAATAAAAGAGAGAGGGAGAGAACAAGGGAGATTCTATCACCTGTTTCACTCACAATAGGATAATTTGGGACATGCTCAGGCTGACTTGCCCCAAGTGGTGGAGTTGGAAGCATACCAGGGGATTCCAATTCAATCCCATCGAGGTGGCATGTACCAATGCCATCTCACTGTTCCAGGTGATCAGTTTCAGTTCAGAGTTGGTCATGGTGGAGGGACTGGGAGTTAAAGGGAGCACATAGACAAGTCTAGTACCTGCTAATGCTAACCGATGGAGTAAATAAAGGGGAGAGTGATCCAACATGGGAAGTGAGATACT